CATTAGCTTTAAAATTGCATCGCCAAAAAGAAAAGAAAAAACATTTACGATGCGTTTGATGGCGTTGAAGACAGCATCCACGCCACGGTAACGCAGTGTGCGTGCGTCTGCATGAAGTCGGGAGACGATGCCGCCAGTATGCGCACTGCCGGAGTGGCGAACAGCCATATATAACGTTACATTGTATAATGCAGGCCCTGCAACAGCTACCGTGTTGATGTGCGGGGATCAGTACGCAAGGAGCCTGTGATATTTTTTACGTGGAGCCGTGGTGCGTGGACGTGTTTGAGCATTGGATCTCGCGTTGCATTTGATCTCTTGGCTACTTTTACGTATTCTGAGGCGCTAGTCTCTTCATGAAGAGAGGAGAGAGTGAAAGGCGATGGCAAGTGGAGTGTCTTGCTGCCATCGAAGGGTCTGATCGCTACTACATGTATGTGCTGGTGGAGGCGACTTTGACGAGCTGTATGGTGCGAGTGCAGCTTGATGCAGAAGTCTGATGTGTCCAAGTATGACTTGGCGCTCGCGATTGGTGCCGTGGTTTCGTCAATTGTTGCCGTCTGATTCTGGAGTTGCTCCTTGCTTTCCCGTTTGATTGTTGCAAGCGACTGTATGAGATTCGAATAAAACGTGGTTTTTCGTTGGCGTTTTGTGGGGTTATGTTTTTTTCGCTGGTTTAATTCTGCTGTTTTGCTACGGTATCTTCAATGTTAACTTGGCTGTGAAGCTCTTGTTGGTGGGTGCTTTAAAAACCCTGGAGTACAGTACCTGACGTTGGTTGCGTGCCCAGCAGTGTCCAAAGAATCAAGTGCATACTGCGTGTGCGGGGGTGACAATGCGCTTGGGGCACTTGATTCTTCACGCTGTAGACCCGCAGACAGCCAATCGGATTCCTTCCTCTCGCGGCTTCTTCACGGTCGGAGTGGGCCAATTGCATCGTGTTAGTACTAGTGACGTCCTGTATTATCAGACGTCGAGCACGCAAGAAAGAGTGCGCAGACCTGGACGCTGAGGCTGTTTCGGCGCTTTGTGGACCTCATTCCTCAAGTTACCGCGGACCACGCACACGACAACACTCCAGCGACCTGCATCACGCCCCAAGCTCTGCGGATGAGCCGGATGAGGTGGCGTACACCTGCTGTATCCATGGCTGTGCACGCGAAGGACGTGTCGAGCGCGCGTTGAACTTGCTCGAAGATCTTCTCGAGTGCGGCTTGACCCCGTCGCTCGTGACGTACAACACGTTAATCAATGCGTGTGCCAAGTCGCACTATTACGCACACAAGGCTGTCGAGCTCTACAACGAGATGCAGGAACTGTACGACTACACGCCCGATCTGTACTCGTACACGACGGTACTGCACGCGTGTGCCAAGCATGGAGACTTTATCCAAGCCGAGCAGATCATTCGACACATGGAACGGCATCATGTACCCATGACCGAGTTCGTGTATAACACGCTGTTTAACGTGTACGCACGCGCTCAGTTTCGCGCTATTGTGGACAAGGCTCCGCGGAATCAGAAGCCATTGCCCAAAGCTGAACCCATTTACCAGGAGCCACTGGAATGGGACGACGACGGGAAGGAAATCGACTTGACACGTCCAGGAAAGGAGACGTTCTCGCTGGAGAATGCCAACTACGATGGACGCTTTGACGAGGAGGGCGAGGACGAGGACGAAAGGGACGAAAGGGACAGCTACAAGCTCAGTCCAGAGGCATTGGCACAAGTGGAAGCGTTGCGTCAGCAGGATGAGTCCAGTCACGAAGAAGTGAAGAAGGCCGAGTCGACGGCACTGGTCAAGACGGAGCGGAGTATGGAAGTCTATGGCCAAGAGGACGACAAGCTGTTTGCTGACAGTGAGGAATCGCTGGACTTTGAGCTGATGCCGATGGACTTGACAGACTTTGGCCAGTTCCAGACGCTCAACATCAAGCGTGCGGAGGTTCGGTTCCATGAAATGACCTTCGAGAAGGGTCTCAAGCCGTCTCGGACGACGTTGAACTCGATGCTGGGCGTGTACACGAATGCACTGCGTCTTCGCTCGGCCGAAGTCTTCATGGACGAGACGTTCTCCCAGTTCGAGCTCAGGCCCAACAAGTTCACGTACCGTAGTATGATGCAGATGTACGTGCGCGCGAAGCGGACGACTCAAGCGGAGCAGTTGCTGGAGCGTGTGCGTTCGGAGATCGAGAGCGGAGATGTGGAGGCGGACGAGGTGACATTCGGTTTGCTGGTGGACCATTACGCCAGGAAACGCTTGCTGCGTCGCGCGCTCACGACTCTGGAAGACGCAGACGCGCTGGGGCTGCAGCTGCAGGAGAAGCATCTGAAGAAGATCCGCGCTCTGACGGAGAAGTACGGCGTCTTTACGGATCTCATTTCGGAGAACCCGAACGCGGTGCTTCTCGCTAGCTCTCGCTACAAACTCATGGAGAAGCGGAAGGTGCGTGCCCAAGTGTTGGAGTACAACCGCAAGATCGGGAAGCGCTTTCTTCTTCCGGAAACCGTCTACTAGACAGACGTGTATGGCGTGGGGTGTGTGATGGGGGGTAAGGAGGAAAGGTTCGTCAGTAGATAGATGCTGTCCGAGACAGAGATAATAGGCTTTGGACATTACAGTACCCAAGGGCGGTATTAATACCTAAAGGTGTGTGAAGATTGTATTGCTTTAGAACTCGAGTCCTACCAATATGAGCGTGTCCCTCGTCAAGTGACGTTTAGCAGCCGGAGCCACCGGCGATGCGCAGACAGGAAGTGGAGTCGGAGACGCAAGGACAAGGTGTCCACGACTGTATTAGAACAGTATCACCGCCTACAAAACTACTACATGTACTCAAGTAACTAGCGAGATGAAACGAAGCACTTCTTATGTGAAAGTATTGTTGAATATAGACTTGTAATATTGTCGACTATCTCAATCATCCGCGTCAAGGTCTAAAATCTGGGCAGCGGCCAATTCAGACCAACCGAGAAGAAAAGTCATCAGCTTCCGCTGGTAGAGCCGCAAAAACGCTATGACACCTCCAAGCGCTGAGTGTGCGGTGAGCTCCACGGCATACAGGGGTTGCTTTCCAAACGACGAGAAAAGGAGGATCTTGGATTTCTGGTAAAAGACAGAATGAGCAATCGTTGGGGCAGACGAAATGACCCGTGCTTCGGTCCTGTGCGACGAACCGTTCCTGCGTGTGACTACTAGCACCCATGCGACTCACGGTGAGCTTCACTTATCGCCAAAACCACTCATGACGAATTTCATCTTCTGACTTGAAGCAAGATAGCGTGATTTAGCTATGAAAATACTCGAATGCGTTGCCCAAAAGCACTTATCGGTCGATTTTCTGATAATAAAAAAGCTAGTAAGATAGTACTAATTGGTCAAGGGCTAATTTAATAAATTATATTTTTTGCGTATTAGTGGGATAATATAAAAGCTTCATACAGTGTAGTAGTACTAGTTGTCTTCGTTCAACAAACAACTTGCTACTATTAAAGCTCAGTAGTAGTTCGGTGTTTATTAGAGCCAAGAAAATATCAAATCCTGCCCACAGAGGTCGTCACTACCAATATATTTGAAGACGCTAACGCCATCTCGATCGGCTCATGAAACTCGGACTGCTGTCGATGTGAAACAGAGCTCATGGTGCAATGGTGCAATTTCGGAAATGCCTGATGCCCAAACTCTAATACACCGAGCTGCAGTAAAGGAAGCAGCCGGTGCCAATCGGATCCAGTGAAAAGAGACTCACATTCAGGAGCCCGCTACTCCGCAGGGACATCACGGCGTCAATATGCATCGCGTCTACAGACCGGCAGAGGGACGTTACCGTGTTGTAAACACTCACCGTCGCCCACAGTAGTAGCAATCTTGCTCGAGGTGCTTCAAGCTGACGTTGGTCTTCCCAGCAGCGAGGGTGAAAGTGCTATCAGCGTAATTTAGAGCAAGTGGGCGACCAAACATCTTCGGCCTCACTTAAACTGCCGTAAATGTACGGCAACGGCGATGATAAGTTACCATTCGGCTCAGTTGTAGGTCTTACAGCACACAATGTATCCAAGGAGCGGTTCACAGAGCTTGTGGAGACGCATTCGCTCACTGTGAGCTATGGCACTTATCAGTCCACAGCTGAGCACGTAAACAGTTCCCCTCATCTGCGAGCAATGCATCATCAAATCGCTCGAGCTTTGATTCGGAAGACAATCACAACCACCAGCTCTGATCTGCACTCGAAGTCGCGCGAGTAGTCCAAGCTCCGGATCAGATGCGCAGCTCAACCCAAAATGCCACACGCAGACATCATCTAAGCGTTTGCTCCAGCATGCCGACCAAGACGCCCTCCGTCTCCGGCAGTCTCGAACTTGCCGGCGACGAGCCAGTACTAGTCTTGGACGCACCAAGATCCCGTAACACACCACATCTATTCGGTCACGAGGCAAGGGGAAGCCTACGCGCACTGAGGCTTACATTGTTGTTGGTCATGCATATCGATATCGAATGGGCTGGAAGAAAAGGAGTGCGACAAAGTATCCTTTCACATGCTCACCTAGTTGATGATGATGCATCGGGTAGAGCATGCCATCACGGGTACCGACGAAGGTATCTGCCAAACGCGTAGTAGTTATGAGTAAAAAGCAATATTACATATAAACAAAGAAGTATCACCCGTAGTGTTGAAGCTCATCTAAGTAAACTAGAAGAAACTATCGAGTGCTTCAGCAATAAGATAGTGCTCGCACTCAGTCGATGCAGCCACGAACATCATACCGTAGCACTCCGGATGACCATAAGTACGTTGCAGGCAGCATATATCCGTGCGCAGCGCTACAATACCATCTAACGACATCCACGCCAGTCTCGTGCTCCCAGACGTGGCATACGACGTCAGTGGACGGGCACTTGTCATCGCGGAGATAGGTTCTTGCACACACGTCCTTGCACGCACGCTCTTGACCTGCACAAATCAGACGCCATTGAGCGCACACCTGCTTACTATTTTACATGATCATTCGCCGTGAGAGCACACGCACAACATTAGCACCACACAGCAGCAAGCAAAACATCCGCATCCGACCTCACGCCGTCAAAGCTTGCGCACAGCATGCTGTAGAACGAGATTCGCCAGAAAGTAGCGCTCCACGGACAGAACCGGCAGATGGTCGTACGACGATTTCTTGGCTTTGCAAGAAACCAAAAACTGGTACCATACATCAAATTCACCACGCAGTGTAGTCCACGCTAATCACAAGAACTTAACGCAGTGTGGTCCATGCACGTGTTTTGTTGCACTACTTTAGTACAACCTCCTCCTAGAATATATAATGAAAAGACGTAAGTACTATGGCGGGAAACAACAAGACTGAATATATCGGGCCGTGAGGACTCCCTCTCACGTCAGAGATAAGAACGGCCAGCGTCAAAACGTAACATTAATTCAAACAGCTCCATCCAGACCGAGCATGCATGCCCAGAT